GACAACTTTTAGAAAGGAAGGAAATGGACAGACCCGTGAACCGAATAAAAGGACAAAAACAATTCATGTTTGTTCTTTGAATGGAAGACGGAAACAATAAATCCGGACAGATAATAGAACATAATTAATACCGAAAGTATTGATTTTCCTGCTACAATGTAACTTGTTAATAGGTTCGATCTGATATAGTGCACACTAAACGGACTCCAACATATTATTATTCCGCAGACAGCCTTCAGCACGTTTATTTGTGTGAGGTTCCAGTTGGAAATCTTTCCGAAACCTTGGTGAAGCCGATATAGATTATCGAGGAATATATTTTATGTTTGGTTTTATTTTCGCCCCCTCTAACGATGATATAATCTCATCAAATTTGGCTTCAATTTGATGCAATTTTTAAGTAAAATTCTGGGAATTCAAAGGAAATTGCAAATATCTCAAAAACTGGTAACTTTAGCAGTAAATAGCTGTACCAGAATAATAAGCATTTTATTTTACATAACTGGGAGTCAGAAAATATCAAGGTATTCCATTTGAAATAAGGAAGTTTCCATGGTTGGAAATTGGCAAAATATGGCATGGAAAATCTACAAATTGGTCAATTATTTTCGATTTTGTTAAATATAATAACTGCAGAAGTTAGAATTCTTTATGTTCTTAAGCTGTGCCAAAAATTAAAGTAGGGACATACAATTATTTTTAGAAAAGTTATGGAAATACCCTAAAAGAATAAGTTATGGAAATACCCTAACAGTTCTGGGAAATCCTAACATACCATGATATATTTAAAATTCATAGAATTATTCAATATTTATTGTAATAATATACCGCAATTTTATTAGATTTTACATTATATTCGTACAATTTGCTACAAGAGGGTTACCGCCTAATATAGTTCAGAAATTTTTCAACTGGAACTGTTTATAACAATGTAGTTAAAAATATAACTTTAAAATAAAAAACATCTACCATTTTTTTTGTACAGTATTTGCCAACAATTTACAGCTGATTAGTGAAAGAAATAAACTTCTCCTTTCAACTAATGACCTTTAACTTTTTTTATGTATATTAAATTAGTAACTACTGACAATGTGCATTTCTTTATATAAACACAGAATATGATATAGATTTGTTTCATACTTTTTTTAGAAATATTTTTTAAGCATATTTGACCTTCTGCTAGTAGACTTTTAATTATATAATTTTACTGGTGCATATTGCCATGCTTTGGTGAGCCTGACTGCATTTGCTATTTTTGTCTTTTAGGCTTTTTGTCTCCAGCGTTTCTACATTTATCGTAAGCGACAAGAAGAATATCGCCAGTTACAAGATTTTATTTGTCAGTGGTGGGGTTTGCGATATTTAGTAGCGTCAATTAAAGAACATACAGTTTTCAAACAACACCTTATGTCAGAATTAGCTAATTTCAACTTTTATTTTTACTTTTAACTTAACCTAATCGACATTAAATATATATGTAAAAGTAAATGAGAAATGAGACGACGTCAGAATACGTCTTTATAGTAAATTGCCTTGAATATGTTAGTGACGAAGAATAGAGATATTTTTAAACGACTGGTGGACGTTACACATGTTTTATTGGGGAATACGAAATTAGGTGTCACAAGGAAGGGATGAATGAAATAGGTACTTCATCTTTAATCATTAAACAAAATATATTTTGTCTTTAATTGGCTCCATAATAAATGCGAAATGGAATAAATTACGTTTCATACACTTATTATCATAAATATTTTAATAATTATAATAATTAGCGACTGTCAGGTATATCGTTAAGATGTTAAATGGGCCATACGACAAAGGAAGAAATCAATTTACAGTCTACAACTTTGACATTGGCTATTGAATTTAAAAAAATCATTCTGATAAAGGATAAATGACAATAATAATAAGATATGTTCATAAATAAATCTTTGAATTATTTGATTAAATTATTTAATGTTTTGTTTTTTAACTTAAGTTTAGGAAAATTTAAGAGATACTGTTAATTAAGGTTATACTTTATCGGTGGTTAACGAATTATTATATTATATTTAAGTATCTGAATATACCTATGTATTTTTGAAGTAATGACGACAGTAAGAATATTACATAAAACTTTTTAAAATAGTGTAAAAGTAGTATAGGTATCTACCTGGAGAAGTGTTGAATTTGACCCATCTTGTACATGCAACTTTTTTCGAAACAAAATACTATTTAACTACTTAAGCCATATTCTAGGCGTTTTAAGAGCTATAGCTTTGTTTTTCTTCTATTGAAACTTAGGGGGACTGGGGGATGCTAAACCTCCCCAGTCATCGGATTAACCCCCCCCCCAAACGAAACATTATAAATATGTCCTCGGTAAAAATTGCGGAAATTAGTATAACACACGTGACGTCCAAATATATTTTTTTCTTAAAAAAAATTAAACCTAATTTAAAAATAAGATTGAGTATATACCTAGCCCCCAAAAATTAGAGTCTAGTTGCGCCTATGTTTGGTACGTTTTGTTTCCATAAGTTTTGACGTAAAGGCATAAAAAATTCAAGAAAAGTGGCATACATATTTGAAGAAAAACGTCAAAAATGACGTGTATTCTAATAACTTTAAAATGATTTAGTTTACTTTTTAGACAATATCATATTATTAAAAAACGTTATTTATTTTTTTGCAATTTTTTTCATTAAGAATTCTTAAATTTGCCAAATTTTAAATTGACGTTTCTACAAAACCTTGTTTTTAGAGTTATGCCATGTCACTTTTCTTCCTGGGTGACGAATATATATTTTTCGGAAAATCAGAATTTTTACCAAAATTGATATTTATTTTATATCATTTATACACTTTCGAGTTCCATAGATATTTGCCCTATGTTACGTCAACAGATATACTGTTACGCCCATATATATGTTAGGTGTGTAATGGTTATATATCATGTTCTGGCACATTTCTAAGAATAGACAAGCATCAAAGGAACAAGTAAAACGGAAGTATAGGGATTACTAAAGACCATTATTTTCTTGACACGCAGGAAGTAAACAGTTCGTATAAAAACAAAGGTCCTGGTTTCTGTTACAGTTATCAATAAATCTAAATTACCAATGTCACACGTAGTTTTTAGGTCATAATAGTTCAGTCGTCTCTGAACAAGATATTATCAAGAAAACATTACGACAAAAAGGAACAAATTGTACGGCAGAAAAAGTGAATGTTTTTTTTAATAACACATGTTTTTTGGGTTATTTTGAAAAACTACCCTTTCCTGAAAAATTCAATTTTGTGATTTTATTGCAATAATTATTGTTCCTTACTTAATCAATAGCCTTAGTATAAGCATTACAAACATTACAAACCGGACTTAATAATTGAATCGCGCGCCTCCATCTAAAAAAAAAACAATTCTGATTCACCACTTGATTTATATTGAACGTTTATGCAAGTTACATAATGTCATATACCAGCTCCAACGAATTATTAAAACTGCTGTAAAAACTATGTCTGGCAATTTATTAACAACAATTTGACAACTGTATAAAAACTAACCAAAAAATTTATACATCTATGACTTTAGAAATAATATCCAATACAAATCGCATTGGGATTGATTTTAGAATAATTAAATTTAGTTTTTATAACATCTAACATTAATTAATAAAAAGTATCGATATACAGATAACACATTGTAGTCGTGCTAAAATTTAAACAATATACAATCTGGTACGAAGTATATTTTTTTGTCATATTATAATTACTAAGGCTTGAAGGTCGTATTATAATTATTATTTTACGGATATTATATACATATATGCTTTATATCCTCATTACCTGGGATATACATCTTTTTCAAACGGATTTACAAGGAATTACCAGTAATTGAAAGAAAACATAGCATATTATGTGTGTACATTCCTGTTGCAAACGTAAATATGTGGATAATTACTACAGCAACAGTTAGTTTATTTATTTATTTATTTATTTATTATATTCCAATGACAATTAACAAAAATTGTATAGAACATGTCAAAACAAGTACAAGTACACGTACAGTAAAAAAAAGATTAACAATATCTACTAGTTGTAAAATACATACAATTATTATCTAGTTAGGGTTTACCGGGGCGAATAGTAACAATTTTTGTTTGAACCGCTGTACAGGTAAAAGTCCAACAGTTAGAATATTAAGTTTGGTGTCAGTAGATTCAAAAATTGTTGTCATCAAATGGGTGTACGTAGGTTTCTGGAATAGAAAAATAAAGAAGTTAGGAACTAATAAACCGAGTGAAGCGAAGTGTTTAAACCGAATCCCGACCGCCGGGACGGTTGGAACAGTAAAGGGGACATTAGTAACACAGTGTGTTTACTCTGAAAAATAACTTTATTCTATAAATATATAGTATTTTAAAAATATAACTAAAATAAAATCTCTATAATAACAAAAGAAATTGTTTTTTATTGGCAAATTTCAGGAAATAACCGCATATTTTAAAGCAGACACAGTTATGGCAAACATAAAAATCATTATGAGTTGTACACTCCAAATGGGACCAAAGCTTGCAGTCCAAACACTGGACCTACTTCTCTTTTTGGTTTGCTTGAACCGTAGGGTTTTGTACTAAATAAAAGTATTCGCCTTTCCTTAATTGATTCTGCAGGTTTTGCGTTATTCAACTTTTTAGTCTTAGATTTATCTTTTTTATTTCCATTTCAGACAAACATTCTTCTTGACTTTCTTTTTCTGTTTCTCTTCATGTTCTAATCTGATCTTATCCTTTTCCGGTGTATCTGTAGGTATAGATAGTTTATGCTTGTGTATAAATCGAAATGTCGGTTAGTCCACGTTATTAAAAAAAAGTTTATTAAAATGTGTTTACTTGCCGCCTTCCGCACGTTACTGTGTAACGTGCGGTAAAAACAACACATTTTCATAAAAAAATTTTTAATACCGTATATGGTCGAATCCGAACGACTTATACCGGACAATTTTAATGAAAATTGCTTGTCGTTGGTAGGGATTGAACCCACCTTGGCTAGCGCACGAACGATCAATACAGCTGTCGCTTTAACCGTTTGCTTTAACCGTTCGGCTACCAACCCGACGCGACGTTCTGATAGACGCGGAATATTTCTAGGCATCTAAAAAAAATTGTGAATTTTAGAGTAGTATTTGGAGGCATATAAATCTGACAATTAAAGATAATAGTTACAAAAATGTGTATATATTGTAATGTAGTAACAAAAGTTTTGGGAATATTTCGCAATCAAGTACAGGCCATAATTTCACCCGGAATACCGCGTTGCTATACGACGAAACAATTCCTGACATACTTTCTTTAGTTGACAGTTCAGGTTCAGTAATAGAGTTTTCCAAAATGTCTTACAAAATAGAGATCCGAAAGAGTATTTATAATTTAGTTGGACGTCTTCCGAAACACGAGATTGTTAACTTATTTAGGAACCAAAATATTTTCAAAAACTTCGATATATCGTACAATAAAAGAGTGCGAGGAAGGAATTCCATGTTTAAACTTACAAAAGTGGACGACCTAAAGTTTTGACGGTGTAGACAATGTCGCTAGGCCATTAAGAACAGCAGAAGACCAAGTCGGAAAATCAGTTGGGCGACGCTTCCATGTTTCCCATATGAGACTGTGCATCGAGGAAAGTGAAAGGTAATAATTTGAAATGTCCAGATGAAGTTAAATTTCGGGCGAAGTCTATGTTCTCCGATAAAATTTTTGATCTGGTGTTCCATTTCAAAACAGGAGTATCCAGGCCATACATCGGACAGGTAAGAGGCGTAGCAGTTGATGCCAATGTGTATACTCGTCGTTGTCTGCCCAAATTAGTTGACTTCATCAACCATCATGCCGATGACGAGATCATATTTGGGCCAATTGGCTTCTTGTCATTATGCCAGAACAACAAGGGATTGGCTAAATAACACAACGTCCCATATGTACCCAGGAACGTTAACCCCCCTAACGTGCCCCAGGCAAGCCCCAATCCGAGAATTTTGGGCTTTACTGAGTCGCAGAGTGTATGACAAAGGTTGGGAAGCACAAACTGAAGAACAGCTGCGCCGTAGAATCTCAAAAAAAATTAATGAAATCGATGTACGTTCCGTCCAAAATCTTATGAGACATGTTAGGACTAAGCTGCGGGCCATCGAAAATGATGGACCTTTGTCAATTATCTAATTTTTGTATTTAATATAGGATATAGTATTGAGATGTTAAAACTTTTATTCAAATAAAAAATCGTTCCCAAAATATATAAAGGCTCTTACAATTTTTCCCAAAACTTTTTACATACGTTATACTACGATGGAAAAGTGACAAAATTAAACTGTAAATATTTTGAGTTTTGTGGATGTTACAATATTATTGTCCCTGCGGGGACAATTGTAACGTTACAAACGTCCCCGAATGTGATTGTTACTATTGTCCCCAGCCATGTTTTGTACATTTCTTTGTCACTTTTATTTGTTTTAGTTGTACTTAGCTCAAATAACCACATATGTAATGGTCCGCCAAAGATTACTTAAAGAAATAGTACAAACAAAGTTCTATTGAATTATTAGAAACTCGGAATATTAACGATTATTGAAAAGGAAAAATACTTACTTTGACAGTATAAAACACGTTATTTCACTCCTGTTACTCCTGTCTAGTCACCTCCAAAGTCAACTCTTTACTGGAAGGTGTTAGCCAACACTTATTACGCTTTTTTATAGGCACTACGCCTGACTATTACGTTCGTTCAGGATAATATGAGCAATGTTACAACTGTCCCCGCGTTACTATTGTCCCCGGTCTACCCTACTATAAACTATTTACAATAAAAGTATGAGGATGTAAAGAATTCGTTTAAGTCATAAAAACATTTTTCACTTAAAAAGATCTTAAGGTATTTTAAAATTTTTTAAAATTTACAATTCTTATTATGTGGGGAGGTAAAAAATTAAAAAAATTTTAAACTCATAATATTCGGTGAATTCGCGGTTGTATTACATCGTGCAAATGGGATATGAAATAAATCTTTCTGTCTCGTATTACAGTTATGTACATTTAAATTATAAACGAAAGTATATTTATTTTTAAATATATATATACACATTTAAGTAGGTATACAAATACATGTTAGTGGTACGTCGAAATGCCCATATTGAATTTGATTTCAAGAATATGGCTAATAGCAAGAAAGGGTCTTAACTTCTGTAGAATGTCTAATTTATGGCATTTAAATTTAGTTATCTAACGTAATGAAATACATATTTCCATAAACCAATACGCACTTCAACAACAATAATTAGGGATACCTACACAAAAACAATGTACGATAATCGGTTGTTTATTTCGTTATAAATTTTATATTTGTATCTAGGTATATTTACTACAATTATTATTCAAATACTAAATTATGCCACCACGTTAAACAAGTTTTTTTATTAGTATATGGGGCTCCCCTTTAGAGCGGTTAATACTTTAAATACGTGTTAACATCATTAAAACCTATTTATGTATATCACTAACATCTAGCAGTGGAACAGGAACATTCAATATTTTGTTATTTTAATTTAGTCAACGCTTTAATTGAACGGGTTTCCCGTAATTCGAATTCGTTTTATAATACAGGGTGTAACATAAAGGTTGGAAATAAAATAAACAGTGGATTTTTTATAAAAAAAAATATATATATTTTTCTATATACAGGGTGACCCATTAGAATGAAACTCCTCTGTAAAAACTGCATTTATTATCCGATTTGGTTCGGGTTTTTTTAAAAGATGGAAAATTTACAACTCTATTTTGGCTCACAATGTGAAACTCCATTGTCTATAATGAAGGCCTACTTTGTTTTTTTCGATGTGAAAATTGGCAAAGATTGTTTAGCGATTTTTTTTATCTAAAATCTGACCACACCAATGGCATCAGCACCCCTTAAAATGGGTTTGTACCAAATTTCATAAAAGAATATTTGTTATTAACGGTAAAATTTATATTCATGATTTTATTATTTTACCTTGAAAGACTCCCTGTAAAAATTGCATTTATTATCCGATTTTAATAAACAAAAGCTCAAAAGATAGAGAATTTTATTTATATATTACAATATCATATTTATATTATTTACTCTATCTACGACACTGGATTTGGTCAATCAAAATAGCTGCACACCAAATTTCACAAAAAGTAAACTTGTCTGACACGGACAAAATTTTTTAAATTATAATTTTTTTATTTATTTTTTTTATAATTATTGTACTGTCATTTAGCTTTACTTTATTTAAAAAACGTGTAGTTTTTCAAATTGTTAAGATCTTAACAATTAAAATTGATGTAAAATACCCCAATCTAGTAATATGTTAATTTTACTTTAAGTTTCGTTTCTACTAAACCATGTTATTAAGTACGATACAGTGCTTTCATAAAGTAATACATAAATTTGTTAAAAATTCAAGGAATAACTTTTATGATACACTAACGTCAATTTTTATATTTAGTTTCGCATTTTTTAGGCCAAGTTTCGTGTATACAGGGCAATCCCTTAGGAAGGTATCACGTGACACTAATTGTTTTATGGAAACCCCAGTTTAAGTTATAAGCAATTTGGAGAAGTCTATACCATAATAGTTATCTACTTTTACTTTTATTGTAACATAAAAATTTTACAAAAAGTGTTGTACAGTTAGATATTTCATAATGATTCATGCCAGTCCTTGAAATACAATTTTTTCTTAAAAGTGGGAATTAACGGTTTAAATGAAAGAAAAAGTGATTCGAATCCGTTATTTTTTTGTAGTTAAAGTGCAATGCCACGATATTTTATATAGGTACATAGGTAAGATTTGAATAGACCACCGTAATATTACAACGTCAGCAAATAAATAATTCCGTTTAAAAAACTGATATCTTGAAAAATAGGGTAGCTGTTGCGAAGGCATTTTAATATTGTTGTAGAAAATAATATTTAATTATGAATTTCCATAATAACATTAGACATAGGTATATTTTCAAATCAGAAAGGGAATATACACCAGTAAGCAGGGTTTTTTCAGGAAAAAATGTAGAACTCCAGTTATTCAATTATTGTAGATAATATTTTATTTTGTAGCCTTCATAAAGTCTCTTGGTGTTTTAAAAATAAATATTGTTTAAATTAAAATTCCAGATATTTATAAAAAAATTTCAAATTAGAAAAATAATGATTATCCAAACATTAACTTTTAAAAAAATTTCCCACTCGAAGTCATATTTTTCGAAAAAAAATATTTTTTGAAAAAAAAATGTGGGTTCGAAAATTTTATTTTCGAAAAATGTTCGTACAATAAAAAAATGCAACATTCCTAGTTAAAAATGTGAAACAATTATAGAAAATCAGTGGCGTTTTTGACCAACTTCCTGTGAAACCGAAAGTGGTAGAAATTTGAAAATATTTTTAAAAAGTAGAGCAAATACACTCATATATAAATATGGTGTTAAAATAATAAAAAAAACAATTATCCTTTCTCCATAATATATGTCTAATGAAGCACTGCGTTTAAAATACTCTATAAGTAGGTTATAATATAAATTATTATAAACCAAATTAAATTAAAATAAATACATAGCTACCAAATCACCTACCTATTCATTACATGATATATTTATAGGTAGTGCCTTAAAATAAAAAATATTTACATTTTTAAATATCTACTAAACGTACGATAATAGAAAAAAACCTTTATTTTTGGGCGCCACCTTTTTATATGACGTCCTACTGCTTTTTGTTAAGATAATTAAAATCATCTCAAAAATTGTCAGTTTACATATTTTTCAGATTTTTCATATCTGTTCAAATTCGCGTTGGGACCTGCTAGGTCCTAAACGCTCTGCATACCTAATTCCTAATTGGAATACTTTTCAACAACAAATCAACTGGCAAATCTGACACTGACCTTATACATTAGCGGAGAAGTAAGATAAGTTTTCGCCACACTCTCAAATAGGTAGAATTTGCTACCGTTCCTCCGTCTAACGTTAACGTTACGAGACGTAGGTAGGTAGGTAAAACACACCATGTGCGGGTGATCCCAGTGACGTATTCAAAGCGTACCC